ACCCCTGTCCCGGGCCCTCCAGAGATCATTCACCAATGTGACCAATGCCGTTTCCGTGCTGTATCCCGGTCTGAAGCCCGACTGGAGCGGGTCTAGATAGACTGTTTCCTCCAGGTGTCGGGGGAACTGCTGCGCAACCACACTCTCAACAACCTTCGCCACAAAGCGAAGGTTGGAGACCGGACGATAGTTAGCTAATTGTGAGGTAGCCATTCCTCTTCTGCAGGGGGTCTCCAAACTTGGCAGCTTTTAAGACTTGTGGACTTCAACTCCCAGAATTCCTCAGCCAGGCAGACAAGTTTGGAGACCCCCTGCTCTTCTGGATGGTTCTTCCTCGTTGACAGGAGAGCAGCCTCAGGCCGCCTACTTGAGCTGGCAGGTTTGAAAAATAGGTAATATTGCTGCCCTGGTTGGGATAGTCCTTCCTGTCCGCAGTAAGGAATCCCAGAGTGGGACAAACGGGGGCTGACCCATTGCAGATTGGAAACAGGTCTCCTGCCAGCAATGACGGGCAGGCAGGAAGGTGGACCGCCCTCTGGAAAATAAGGGAGAAATTCACGGGGGCTGGCACACCCCAAAAAAGTATGACCCGATTGAACCAGGGAGAAACTCGCGCTCTGCCTCAAGTAAGCCTGGGGGTTCAGTGGGGCCAAGATTAGCCTTCAGCCGGACCGTTTGGGTCTCCTTCCTGCCTCTGCGTCTCCCATGGGGGGTCTCTCCTTCCTCCCTTTAGGAAGCCCAGGAAGCCGAAGCTCTCCAGGAGGAGCTGAATGAGAAAATCGAGAGGCTCAAAGCCGAGCTGGTGGTCTTCAAGGGTCTGATGAGCGACGTAAGTACCCCAGGCGGCCGTGCCGGTCATTCTCGTGGAGCCACCCAAGGACAGACAGAGACCCGCTGGCTGAGGGCTGCTTGTAGTTAGATGGCCCGCCTGGTATGACCCCCCCATGCATCGGAACCCCCCCCCATGCATCGGACCAGCCCGCTCCTCCTCCTCCTGCTTCCCCTCCGATTGGTGTCGATGCGTTAACTTGCTGCTCCCCCAACCAGCACCCCGATGTCTTCCCCCCCCCCAGCGGCTGGCAAGCCAGTGCTGGGCCCCAGCGGCAGCCTCTCGGAGCCCCCCGCTCCTCCGCATGAGACTCCAAAGGCAGGGGGGCACCCCTCACAAGGCTGATTTGCTCTCCTCCCCTGCTTCCCGTGCTGCCCCTGCAGGGACAAATTGGGGTACGTTCAGATACAGAGACGCCGTTCCCCTTTCCCACATTCAGGGGTTCCAAGCGTGTTTGGCTGGAGTTTCTTTTGGGGGTATGTCGTGTCTTTCCCCCTTTGTTTTAGGGGAGCCATGTTTGGGGACTGGGAAGCCCTTCTCGTTTTTAGCTCAGTGTGCTCTTCCCCCCCCCCAAAAAAGCCAGGAACTCAGGCTTAGAAAACTACCCTGGATGGTTTCAAGTATGGGCTTCCGTTTTTGAAAACCGTAGTTGCTTAGTCTGTCTTCCGGTGAGTCTTTTTGAAAATCAGATACACAACTGGCCAGATAGCAAAGGTGTGACCCTTTTATCCACCCGGGGCAAAATGTCAGCTTTCCTTCTTTGTGTGCTGCACACAGATTTGGGCCTTGCTGAAGCAGGTCCCCCCACCCCACACACTTCGTTTGTTGGCTTTAGATTCCAAGACTCTTCATCCTCTTTCTCAAGAGAGTGGAGGACAAGAACCTCATTGAGGGCCGGTGGCTAACCCTGAGATGCCGATGGAGCTTCTCCCCATCATCCAGGTCACGGAGGTCCCAAAGGTGCTTTTCCAAAAGGCAACCGGACTTTCCTGATTGTTTTATGTTTTCCCCTTGAAAATGTTTTGCTTCTCATCCAAGGAGCTTCTGAAGAACTGAAGAAGCTTCTTGGATGAGAAGCAAAACGTTTTCAAGGGGGAGAAGAAAAAAAACCCCAACGAAGTGGAAAAGCACCTTTTGGGTGGAGATAGCGAGCTCAAGGGAAGCTTTTTTCTTTCCCAGCAGGCTGGTGAGTCTCCTAGCCCAGGGGTAGGCAACCTTGGCTCTTTTATGACTGGTGGACTTCAACTCCCAGAATTCCTGAGCCAGCATGGGGGAACTATGGTCCCCTTCATGACTTGTGGACTTCAACTCCCAGAATTCCTGAGCCAGCCATGCTGAGGGGAAAGGGAGAGGTTTCCAAGCAGAGCCAGGCTGGCTCAGGGATTCTGGGAGTTGAAGTCCACCAGTCATAAAAGAGCCAAGGTTGCCTACCC